TATGGAGAAAAGCAATTTCAAAATAGCCACTCAAGAAGAGATTGAGGTTGCGCATTCAGGGCAGTATCTCCCTCAATCTGCCCATCACAGTTGATGAATCTAAGGTTATACTATACCATTGTAAACACATTGATCATTATGTGGTATATTGCTTCCATTTTGTTCATAGAACTACTTTTTGCTGGGTGTAGCTTGATAAGAAGCTTTTGAAGAGTTTCTTCGAATCTAATCCTCATGAGAACCTTCCTGATTCTGCCGATAAGGTACCCCTCTTTCTTTGAGTAATTAATTAGGACTACAAACTCAGATCTTTATTTTTTAAGTTTTGACCTTTAGGTTTTTTTAGATGAATTGTTTCGTGACAGTTATTTTGGTATTGATAATAGTTAATATCTTCATTTGTTATTTATAATGTGAATATATTCCCACGACATTAAAGATAATCTGGATATTTACATAGGTGTATAAATGGGAAAGTGGATATTTCCCCTTGTTATACTTATATCTAATTGAATAATAGATTCTTGTCAGTCAATATCCCCGACCAAATACCCGACGCCGATGGCGAGCTATACGACTTAGACGATGGCGTGGACTTCCCGTACGAGGATCTGCCGCTGGTGTCTGGAATTTACAGTGTAAAATTGCTATTTTTGTTCCTTTTTTTCCCCCCTTTTTGCTTTGTTTATGTGGGTTCTGTTGATGGAATTTTGACAAGATGCATTGTTATTGGTGGTTGGTGTTGGATTAATTGATCATTGTTAGCTCATTGTCTTCTCAATTACGCTATTAACTCACCTTTCAATGAACCCCAGTGCCGGCGGTTAGAGTGTTGCCGCCGATGTCCGGCCACAATAGCCGCTGCCGGAGGAAAACCCTAAAATTGCGTGAAGGAAAACCCTAGCAACCCAACTTCGATCGTTGTCTCCACGATGCCACGCTTTCATACTTCGATGCTGCCAGCGATGTTAAGACCATCTACATATCCTACTTGCATACTGCCATTCAAACCGTCGCCCCTCCGCTGGTCAATCCACTCGATATCTGCTCATCGCCAACGAGCCTCCCCACCACGAAGCCGTCGTCGTGTTGCCTACAAATCTACATGCCGCTGCCTCGGACCCCCTTGTGCCCCGTCTGCAGCGTCGCTAGGGAGCTTACGACGAAAGATCGGCCACGAACTGTGCAGATCTAGCTACGGGAGGCAGAGGTTGAGTAATTTTAGATAAATTGTTCCGAGGCTTTGAATTATGTGGATTGATATATTTTTGGAATTTTGTTTTTCATTTTTTTTACATGATTTTCAGTGAAATTGGATTAACCTATAAGATATGGCCTTATGTTGAAGAGGTTATATACCTTTCCATTTCTCCTTATTTGGGCAGGTTTCCACGCATTGTGAACAGATTGTATTTTGATTTTTTTTTTTTTGGTAAGATTTTGTGTGTGGTATAGGCAGCCACAGAGGTGAGTGGAGCCAATTCTCGAGCAATATATATGCAGGCAATTTTGTCTTCTATCAAGTTTTCCAAGCTGATTCTAGGGACTGTGGCGCCACAACTCACAGGTCATACAATTTTGCTAAGTCCATGCATTTCACATGTATAAAAAGCAATATTCACATTATTATAAAAGCTTTCATTTCTCTATTTATTTGTCATTTTTATGATTATGAAGAATTGCATTAAATAATAATTCTTTTTGGCATTAAATATAATGTAGCAGTTTGTATGTGAGTACTAAAAGTGATATTTATTATTATAAAATTTAAAATTTGTGCTCGATATAAACTCGAATGTACGAAAAAATGAAATTACAAAATTAATGAATACGAAAAAAACTAAGGATTAATAATAACATCTATATATATATATTAAAAGCCAACATATTTACCAAAAATAGTAGCAAGAAAAGTCAACACACATTTAATGCATACTTTATCTATAAATTTTTTACTATATGCATTAAATGCTTGCATATTTACATTTACTATCCAAATATGATCTTCAAGATTTTTTCCTTAAATAATTTATGCAATAATTTTACTGATATCCATTATAATTAATATTTGTCAAGTAATATTTTTTAACCTTTATTTAATTATATAACACTAATAGTTTTTTAAAAAATTAATATTATTTATTATTTAAAAGATAATGATCGCATCATTAAATGATTTTATTGATGGTTAGATAATAAAATTATAGTTATTCTTTATAATTGACATGTTATTTATTTGTATATTATTGTCAACTATGATAGTGTTTTTATCACTTTTTTTTTTT